TCTTGTGGATGATTTACTGGAGTTACTAGGCAAACTGTGGGAGCAGGAAACTGTCCCAACCGATTGGAGCCGCTCCGTCATAGTCCCAATTTTCAAGGGAGGCTCACGAGCGGAATGTGGTAGCCATAGAGGAATCAGTCTGATCTCCATCGCCTCCAAATTGCTTGCCTCTGTCATCGTTCACCGACTGACTGGCACTCGTGAAAGCCAGATTCGTGAAGAGCAAGCTGGATTTCGTCGAGGTCGTGGCTGCATTGACCACATCTTCACCTTGCGTCAGTTGTTGGAGCACCGCCACATATATTGGCGGCCCACCGTAGTCGTGTTCCTCGATATCAAAGGTGCATTCGATTCGATGGATAGACATGCACTTTGGGACTGTCTACTCAGGAAAGGTGTATCTGAGAAATATGTGAATATTATCCGAGCATTATATGCGCGTAGCTCGGGCAGAGTGCGGGCTTACGGCAAGTTGTCGTCGCCCTTTAATATCTCCAGCGGCGTGAGACAAGGATGCCCGCTGTCACCTTTCCTCTTCAACTTCGCTGTTGACGAAGTCATGGAAATCGCGTTCACAGGACGCGACTTAGAAAGTGTGGATCTGCTCCCAGGAGAACGACTTCTTGACTTAGGGTATGCTGATGATATTTCCCTTATCTGTGACAGCTCACAAATGTGCCAAGCGGCACTGGACAGATTAGCGATAGCTGTCCGTCACTTCGGGCTTTGCTTCGCACCCTCGAAATGCAAAGCGTTCCTCCAAGATTGGTCTGGACCGCTTCCTACGCTGACCCTTGGTGGGGATCAGCTAGAAGTCGTTCAAAAATTCAACTACCTGGGAAGTTGTATCAGCGCCCGTGGGATTGAAGATGAAATCACGAATCGTATAGCAAAAGTTCAGGGCGCTTTTGCTAACCTTCGCCGCTTATGGCGCCGGCGCGACATCACTCTCGCCCTGAAGGGTAGAGTGTACAATGCAGCAGTACGTTCGACCCCACTGTACGGTTGTGAAACCTGGCCGCTTAAAACAGCGGACCTGAAGAGGTTAGTTACGTTCGACCACCGGTGCCTTCGTAATTTAGCTCACATCTGGTGGGAACACCGCGTGAGTAACGAGCGTGTTCGACGCCTTGTTTATGGCACAGGAAAAGGAACCGAACCGCTCAGCACCGTTATTTCACGCATCAGGCTCCGATGGCTCGGCCACGTGTTACGCATGCCAGCCCACCGACTTCCGCGACGTGTGTTTGCGCACCGGGGGTGTGGATGGAAAAAGAAAAGGGGTGGCCAAGTGATGACTTGGTCAAGAGGAATGAAGGCCCTCACTTTTGAGCTGGCCTCGGTTGGACCGTCTCGGCTCCCTGGTTGGGGTCCGAAAGACGATGAACACGTTTGGTTGGACACACTTGCTGATATGACTAGGAGCCGACCTCAGTGGCGTTCGTGCTGTGGGTTTTTTTGTCCCACCCCATCCCTCTTAGCCTCCCCCTCCAACCACGATCTCATTATTTAACCTTACATAATTTTTGCAAGATATTTTTTTGGGTGCACAGCAGCCGGCTGGTAGCTTACCGGAACGATGCTCAGCCAGCTTGCACCAGTTGCATTTTTTTCTCCTTTTTGCTGTGTATTGCGGCACAGTAGGTGAGGTGTTCCCCACCTCTAGCTAATGTGTATGATGATGATGAACGGAGGCGGCCCACACTCCTTCAAACGCAAGGCAAACGCAAGCACGCTATATTTGGGGAATTAAGCGCACACAAATCGGTGGCTGGACCGTAGTCCGCTCCACACTGAGTGCATTGAAGCACTCTTCGAGCCTAGCACGGCCACAAGAACCGTGCACCCCGTCGTCTCCAGCAATGACCAACTGTCTCCTGGAGCCAGTATGGACGATGTAGTGGGTAATAGACAGGTAGGCACCTTGTCAACATGCACATCATACGCAGCCACACTGGGGATATCAAGCAACAGCCAATCACCTGGAACGATAAGATGAAATAAAACAAATCCGATAATGCATACGGATATGGTGGCATAACTCTAAGCTAAATGAGTATATGAAGTAAGTTGGTTAGCAACGATTCCGCGATAAGGCAAAAATGTCCGCAAGTTTGTTATAAATGCTACAAAACGCAACAAAGTTACCGAAGAGAAGCGCAATTAATGTAAGCAACGTTGCCAGTTAATAGAAGTGTATGCAGGTAGGCAGAACAAACCAAATAAAGTGGAATGAAATTTAGCCAGCTTAAAAAGACCTAGTTTAAGTGTAAGTTGGTTTAGCCCAACTGCGGTGAAGAAGCATCAAGAATGCAACATCAGCATGGGGCACAGCAATATCAGCCCTATATATATATATATATATATATATATATATATATATATATATATATATATACATATATATACATATATACATATGTATATATATATGTATACATATATATATATACAGTTTCAGCCTGTTGGATATCATCAGGGGTGCGGATCCACCAGGATTCGAACCCATGACCACCAGTGGCTTGCACCGCCAGTCAGCAGCTTGTGCAACTGAGCTACGGGGAACAGCTTCGGATCGTCATGATTTCCGGTCAAGTGGAAGACTTTGGTTTCAAATCCGGTGCAATGAACACTCAAATAATTACATCCAAACCCCCCTACTTATGAGCACATTTGTGGAGACATTTGTGGAGACGAATATGGCGTCAGCAGTACGTCCATACGCAGTACCGACGCTTCGCTGTCGCGCAATCACCACCAGTCGCGCGTGAGCTAAGGATATTGCGAGGGTCGCCCTGTCACCTACAGTCCCGAACCCGCGACCCCAGATTACAAGGCAGGTTTGTAATGCTTAAGACCACGGTCCGGCAGGTAGAAATGGTTCTTGACTATTCACGCTGCATTAACGCATAGGCTGAAACAACAAAAAAGCACATTTATCGGATCGTCTGTCATCCTTGCAATAACTTCGAAGCCTCATTACGTCAGTGACACGCTAATGACCTTGGTTTATCTGTTTGACACTTTTCACAAGAAGGAACTGTTTTCCGACTTACAGTTGTCGGCCATCATACCCATCTCCAGTAGGGCTCAAAGGAAGTCCTGCATAAGGCTTCATGGTCTTAGTCCGTTCGCAAGTGCCTCCAAACCAATAGCGTACTGTGTTGCAGCAGCTTACTAATTCTCTTGGACGATGACTTCGTGAAAGTCAGGCTGGTATCCGCTCTGGTAGGGCTTTGTACGTAATTATCCCCACAAACCGCCTATCACAGTAGTCTCCCTAGATTTGTTGCTCACCTTTGATTCCACTGGCGAATTCGCCTATTCTTGAGTTTACGGGTAACTCCCGATTTCACCATGACCAATAATGCGCATCAGAACTGTCCTGTTTCTTTATTTCTTTCAAATAGTAAATGACTCGTCTCCTTAAATCGACTCCACTAAACAACCGTCTCAAAACTGAGGCGCAGCTTCTACGCAAGCGTTACTAAACGAACTGACTCGTTTCGCTGCTCCCTTCGGAGTGTACTTTTCGCCACCAAAGTACAAGGCACTGTTACAGGATTGGATTGCTAGTCTATTTCTCACTATCACTGATCAACGTGAATATATCCTACCTGTTAGAAATGTTTATCTATCTAGGTAGATGTATCAGCGCCTGTTGGTTCCGGCCATTGAATCGAACCTACGTAGGTGCGAATGACCTCGCAGTTTTCTTACCCGCGCGCGGCTGTTAATGGTTGCGTGGCAGAGAAGCGTCCGTCCAAAGTGCTAGCGTACTGTTTTCCTAGCTATATCACCTCCGGCGGCCATGTAACCACGTATTACGGAAGTTCAGGGGGAGAGACGGGTTCAAATCTTTATTCACTTTCAGAGACGGCAAGGTGTTGACGTGTTGACTAAGATTCATGACGCGGCCGTGTGGTTGGTGTAACTTTTTGGTCCAGAGACTTACAGAGTACTACCCATATCTGGTGGACGAACCGAATGGGTAACACGGAAGTTCAGCATGTAGTTGGCAGCACACCCCTCGGAGTATCTGTTGAACTAGAACCACCCCCAGTGACCCGGTTATGCGCTCCGTATTCCTTCAACCTGAATATTTTGACGTATTTGTCAATGCTGCGCCAATCAGTGAAGTGGCAACAGAGCATGAAGGCGCTGAATCGAGTTGGGGCTTGTCTTCTTCGGTTAAGTCCTCTGGACTCAGGCACACCACGTGGTTGATTTTCACCTGGCAAACGTCCCCTTGTTAAAAAGCCACAAATGTCTGGAGCAACACTGCGACGCGGTGTATGTAACTCGCCACCGAAATAGTCACTGCCCACTACTAAACACAGTGATGATCCCAATAACCGAACTTTGTGAGCACAACGACACATGAACAAAGCCTCTACTTTTCGTCCAACAGTGTTTATCAAACCTGTCGGGTTTCTTAACGGAAAAACTTATAGATTTTACAGCATTTCCGTGCCACATTTCTATCTGACTCCAGTGAACATGCCAATTATCCTTACAACATTCCCATACGACAGTTTTGTACCATTTTTCGAACCATGTATTTTGCCAACACTTATCTCTGTCGTTTGGCTTACATACGGTTATTGTGTTTGTGACTCTGACAACCACTTGATCATGCATGTGCTGGTGTGTCTTGTTTCCTCGAGAATAATACCATTTATTGATTTGATAGGATACATCATCGGATATGTTACGCTAATGGAATCGCTGGCGCTCTTGTACTCCTTCACACTTGGCCCTTGACTATTCCATCCTGAAGTTATATTTCCACCCATTCCTCTTGAATTATTCTGTTAATGATAACCACGACTACTATCATTACTGTTATTTTGACAACGCGTGTCAAAGCATCTGAATCCACCGCACCTCGGTGCATGAATTTTACTTGTCGAACTCGACATTCAAACAACCGGACCACACTCTCGGACTTCTGTGTCTAGGCGGCTTGCATCGACGATTTCTTTCATCTCTTTTTCTAGCAATCCAAGGAGCGACCGACGACATGTTCACCCGTTAAACTGGCTGTCCGAAGTCGCTGGTGCACAACCCAATATGTAAGTTGGTTCACTCCGTCAAGATGTTTTCGTTGTCCCTTATTCTGCTCTCTACTACCGGTTTTGTCCTTTCTAATTTTTCAAGTGAAAACGGCTTGGGCTAGAAAACAACTTCAGTGCCGTCGAGATTCTTTCTTTTTGTACCATCACCTGTCTCTGTATGTTAACTTATGATCAGCTACACTGCCGCTCGCCTGTCTGTCTCAACACAGCAGCTGCTGAAAAACCTAGCTATAAATGCTTGACCGTTGAAGTGCCTTTGACTTAGCTTCGTGACATAATTGTAAGGACATGTGAAAATTCCATTTTCCCGGTTTCCGCTTAAATCAGCCAAACAGTCCATGTTCGACACTTACAGCGCTGGCCATATCGCACGCTTTTCTTCAGGAGTCCTTTTAGCTTTCTGTTGCATGCTTTGCTTGTCCTAAGCTTCCGATGGAGCTTGTCGTGCCACCACCAAGCTTACTGGTTTCTGCGCCACATTTCGAAGTTGTGCTACTCTTGTGTTGTTTGGTGGCCTATTTCATAGTTTATTCTCACTCCTTTTTCGACTATTACTTACCACCCATGGGCGCAGCTTTCAGTAAATTTCTGACCACTCACACTCGCTTCCTTTACCTCGGCTTTCCACACCAGTGCAGTCAATGGCTCGGAGCCGGATCCATCAAGAGGAGCCGGAACTTCTCTTTCTTCTCGAGTTCCTCCCCCATATACAGTGGCAATTGTCGCAGTGCAACATGACCTCGTGCCGTACGCCGAAACAATCGAGAAACGTGTTTCCACTGAGGTCCGGTTTCAGGATACTCGGGACTCCATTCCACGCACTCACATTGTGGTGCTGCTTTCAGCTGATCATCTCACCCCTTGTCTTGCTGATTTAACCAGAGACCGGGTGCCCTTCGCTATTATCTGCACCACAACAAATTGGACTCACGGTTCTTGCACCCTTCGGATTCTGTACGCTCCTACACAACAAGGTATCTAGATTAATGCACGTACTTCCTTCGATCTTTCACACTTCGCGAAATCCGACTTAACACTTCATTTTTGTCATATTTCCACTAGAGCATAGAAACATGCCTCTGGACGATGCCATGGTGCTTCTGAAGAAAGAATACGATACTTATATGGCTAAAGAATTCCCCGCCACTGTTGTGGTGCCAGCTGCTGCACCGAGTCCCGTAATAACAACCGACGATCACACCTTTTTGGCCCCAAATCGTAACCTGGTCACTCTGCTGCGTATGCTTGCGGATTCGCGAATTTTAAGCATAGGAGAGTTGGACGAAATAGCGGCCTTTGTACAGGAGCGTAAACGCCGTTTAGAGGGCCGACGGATTGAAGCATCCTCCAGTGAGTTCCCGGTAGGAATACGTGATCTAAAAGTTGCATAACTTGGTTGCTAGCTATATTTTTTTATTTTAACTTGGTTACCTTGCAACGCTGATAACCTATTTGCCCATTTTTGATGTTCGAAACATACAGTTGTTTAGATGCTTTGGTTTGCAATGATTCGCGTCCTTGGCACCATAGATTTAGAGCTTAGCCGCCAAGATCTTTCTTGTATCCTCTTCGTGGCTTTCGCCCGTCGAAATTTATTTACTACTATGAGTAAAAGCTGTTGGTTGACCAGCGGGTCGTAGTTTATCCAGATGTGCTCGAGCTTTCTACCTTCAAGTATTTACCACTATCCTGTATGGGCAAGTATGATGTTGTAGTCCCGTTTCTCTTGCATATTAGCTAGAGACTCGCTTTAATTTGTCACCCTCGAACTGCGGGCAATTTTTTCCACTTCGTTATCGGTGTGCAACTTCTTCAGTTCGTTCATCCTGACTTTTATCGTCTTTCTCTTCTCCATCTGAAAGACTACCCTTTGTCTTGCATACGGTGAATTGTCTTAAGTATGCGAGTATCCAGGTTTTCACACTATCCAACTATACTGGGCGCACTTTTTTCATCACCGTTTCGAGAAAACACGAGCTTACCGGGAGTTGTCTGTTGTTGTTGGTGCTCCGCCAACGCCTCTACCAATGATGATTTCCGGTTTATAGCAATGTGTTTAAACTACCTGGACGGCCATCGGCTGCCATCGCCATCCCTCAGAGTTGATTCCTCTGCCCTTACCATAATTGCCCACGTTTCTTGAGCCACTAATGTTCTGAACGTGTCGTGTTTCTGTGGCTTGGGACGGACCACTTGCTCTCGTTCAACTGCCGTTGCCTTACACCACTCATTCTACTGACCGAAAAACGTGTCAGCTTCTACGCTGTAACGATGCTTCGCTGCCGCGCGACCACCACCAGTCGCGCGCGCGCTGTGTATACCGCGAGGACGCCCAGCCCTACGCGGATTCGAACCGGTGACCTTATGGTTGCAATGCAAGCGTGCAGACCACTCGGCCACCGGCCGACAATAATAACGTGTCAGCTTATACGCCGTAACGGCACTCATGCACCATCACACCTGCACTTCTTTTACTCATTGCCCTAAGCCACTTGAACATCGTTTGGGCTACGCAGATTGGCTTATGTCTTACTGTGCTTAGAAGTCAGCTTAAAATCTGCTCCATGACGAGAATTGCCTTAGCAAGCAAACGTAGAACCGTTCACCTCCATCTTTTCGCAAAGGCTTCTTTGTGTACTAATGAGATGGCATATATTTTTTTGCGCTTAACTGGCACTGCAGTCAGTCCACAAGAGCACAGCGACTGTGTTTCTTCGATCTTTGATTAACACGGCATACTCGACTCACCGGTATGCTACCGAATATATTTCCTATCTGATATTCGTTCCTCCAATTTATCGTTTGGCTCATGTACCAACCGCTCCTGGTAACGTCTGACTACTCGATCCCTTGGGTCTGTGGCTGTAAAGCATGGACTCTGGAACACTTAATCGTATCATCCAAATACCAACGTATGCTTAAATTTTGAAGCACGCCTTCGCGTTTTCTTCCTCGATGCTGTTCACCGCACCACCAGTTTCAAAAAGACTTAACGGACGCAAGTCTTCGCATTATTCTCCTGGATGAACATCCACAGTGTATTACTTATTCACAAGATTCCACCACCAGTAATCTCAGCCTTCCTTTTCGATCGTCCCCTTTTCAATTTTCAGCTGACAACTGTCTTCCTCGACCACACTGGCAAGAAAGCTAGGGAATCTTTCAAACCTAGAGTCCGGATCTACGTAGGATCTTTCGAAGCATACACATTTTCACATTGGTTATCAAGCACCAACCGGTATGGTTTCGCATTTGCTCGGGAGCCGATTCGAACCTTATCCAATACACGCGCACATTACAGCTGCATCCCACCGCATATGCGCCTACCAAACCCGTTTTTCTTTGGTGACACCTACATGCTCCACTTAAGCAGAGACGTCGAGTGAACGGCCCGCTGTATTTGCGATATCTGACTTGCCAACAGATGTTCGGCGCTTGCTATTCTACGGTGGATCCGGGGACCTCTGTGGTTTGCCGAAGGAAATGCTTTCGTTTTCTAGTTTCAGCAAGTGCCACTATCGATCACAGTCCAGTGACCCAAAGATGAAGCATATGAGCATCTATCTTTCCTCAATCGAATGGCCTAAAACAAATACCGCTGTCTTTGGGCGACTTGAAAATTCGGTGCTCATTCACCTAGGCCGGCTTATTTTATGATAGGTTGTTTCAGAGCCGGTATTTGTGCTAACTGTGTCGGCCGCTTTCCTTAGCTATGCGCCGGCTACGACCCCTGTCAATAGCACAGCATCTTAGAACAATGGTTCACACTAGATAAGATGGTCTCCTCTAATTCAGTGGTTACTTGTGACAGCTTAGTCCCACCGCCATCAGCTATGGATGGCGTACGTCAGTTTGTCGATTGAACTGGAGCACCCGCTACAATTTACCTGCACGCATAGCACGCTCTTTCTCTTTGTCAACCATATTCACCACCCGCGCAGCATTTATGCCAAACTGATTTGTGACTTCAGCTGTCACTGAAGCATGTTTTGTGTAAACGGAATATGGATTGGGCTCACCTCCAACACGAGGTGCAAAAGGCGCTCGAATTTGCTCCTTTGTTTAGCGTGAAACATTTGAATAGTGGATGGATTTCTGAAGTTTCCCTAAGTTTGACTGCAGCACGGAAGTTGGCTTGGCGCTGAGCCGGCACCTGCTTGAATACCTCCGGATTCACCGGGATCGTTGATGAATAGCGAGGGCGATCAGATGAAAAATACCCTTGTGGGTAATACAGTTTTATTTCAACTCATTCGATGTCCATGTTTAAAAGATGCTTCAACGATCGGGACATTGGCTTAGAAAGATGGGCAGCTGCTTTGCTATCAATCAATTCGTCTGGAACGTTGGGCCAAACAAGGAATTCAGCGGATTCAAATAGTTCGTTCACTTAAACCTTACAACCGACTGGATCCGACCCAGACTGGTCTTGTTAAATCAGCACAAGGTTTCTGGCCTTACGAACTTCCTCCACCTGTCAGGAAATATCCTTATTTATATATGTAATGTACTTATAGAGGCCTATTATGGCAATCTCTGATTTGGAGTATTTCTTTGCTTCTTGGATTGTTTGTGGCAGTGCTCAGCACTGAAAGAGCTGTCACTAATCTCATAACTACTGCCCTCAAGATCTACAACCTCTATCCCTTGGACTCGCCAAGATAAATGGAGCGCGTCATGTTTACCTATCTAAATTTGTGTTCGGCATCGTGATGGATTGTTGTCTATCTCCATGTTACTAATTCCTGTGTCCGGACTACGCGAACTACGCGTCTGTCGTGTACCTAGCATGAGCAGTCCTCCCGTACACACTACCGACGCTTCGCTGCCACGCAACCACCACCAAGGACACTACGAGAATCACGCGGTCCATTCCGCAGACTCGAACCCGTGACCTCCGGATTACAATGCAGGGATGTGGTCCTTTCGACCACGGCCCGACTGTACGACGTTACACACTGGCGCAGACATTTCCGTTTCAAAGGACAGAGTATTGCTACAGAACAGAGCCGACCAGTGCCTACATCAAAAGCCATTTGAAGTGGTTAATCGGTTCACTTAACTGATAGAGAGTTTACTCCGCCCATTGTCCTTTCCGATGTAGTTTTCCAAAATCTCGGTCAGTTGATGGAAAGGGTCTACAACCTTCCACGATTCTTGGGTAGGATGCTGACAACGGCACACGGCATGTCAATCGACTGATCGCATTTGACCATGGACTTCAGAGGCATAGTAATGAGATTCACCACTAATTCTTGGAAACGGATTTTTTCGAATTGTTGTGACACCTTAAATAAAGTTCCTAGGTAGAATTTAACGCTTAGAGGCCTTAAACGCAAAAATTGATAAGACCGAGGGCCTAGGGTCAGTTGCTTTAGGTACTCTGCATAACAGTTGTGAAATCGGTTTCGCTGTTGCGTTCGATCTCACGTCTTAGCCTATCATAACACTATGATGACTACAGTTTTTATTTCTATTCCTGATTCTTCTTTTTCCCATTCATGTTTACTAAAATTTTGGCAACACGCAATGACAACTGGATCTTCCACGCTGTTGTGTTCGAATCATAGTCAATTAACCATCAGTTTCTCCTGTTACCTAACTTCAACGCGTAAATTTCTATGATAACTAGTCATCTTGCTTCGCTGTTGATTGGATTGCTCATAACCATCTTTGAGGTCGCCTTCAGATTCCCTCTTTGTAGGACGCATCTGGTTCTAGTTGAGTCGGTACGATAGTAATTTTCTCCGTTTCTTCATTGTATATGTGATCGGTCATCCCTGTCTTCTCATGTGCTGAATATTTCTGATTCAGCCGATACTGGAAGTGGAGGAAATACCACGGATTTGAAATCCCGTATACTGAATATGCTCTATCCGCCGAATTCAGCGAACACTTCTCAGGTGAATACGATGACTGGAATGGGCACGTTTCAGCCAATTCCTGCGGAACCAATGATGCCTATTCAACCATCAATGAGTCATGCCAACTTGCAATCCCAGAATAAGATAGGTGCGCCATTGACAAACCCAGTAGTCCAACAGGCCCTCGACACTTTGATGATGTTACCAACAGATCGGTTTGTTCAACCTCTCCTTTCCACTCCATCTGCTGTTCAACACCCTGGTGCTACTGATGTCATGAGTCGCTCATCCGGCTTTCAAGCTGCCGCAAGTTCCACTGGTTCACGACCATCGTTTAACGTGGACACAAGCAAATATAATCAGCAAATCAAAACTTTTGGCAGTGCTCGATCCGACAGACCCGGGCCTCAAAACGAGCGCTCGAGGCTTGTACCGGGACAGAAGAGGTTTGACACCGCTCCAGATACTGAAGCTATTCAGGCTGTACCTCAACAACG